GTAACAAAGCAATTTTCTGTTTCGTCACTACTACGGATTAAAATGTAAGCCATGGTAAATTTATAATTTATCCATACGAAGCACGCTCGTTCTTAACTCAAGTTGCCTTTATCAATGATTTATCACCATTTCTCGGTATTTTGTTAAAAGTTAATATCCTTTATCATCATGTATTGTCGCTTATCACTTTGTTGAAGCCAATTAATTCAAAGCTCTTTATAAATATTTGAAAGTTGAAATGCAGTACTTAGAACTTTCATAAGTACGATGCTTATCAAGTTTTGAACACAGGATATGCGAGTGATTTCAAATTAATTATTAGACATAGGCAAGTATATGCGATATAAGTGGAGAAAAATAATAGAATTACTATTTGAAAGCTAATATAATTTCAAATTCATAGTACTTATGAGTAATATGTTTCGATCGTGGCGTGTGCAAAGTGCCCCTAAAATTTTGCATCTTAATTTTAATATTGTACATTTACATTTGCACTTTATTATTTTTTGCTGCGAATATGTAAAGAAAATTATTGATTATTATTTAGTGCTTAGCAAAATTTTTATTTTCCATCAAAAACGATGCATTGAAATTTGAAAAGAAACAGAATTGAGAAAAGAAATGTATTACATTCATGTGCTGGAAAAAATCTTTTCTTGGTATTGTAAATAGTGAAAAATGAAAATTTATTCAGAAAAGAAAATTCATTTTACTAAAAGATAAGAAAATTTTCTTTTAAAGTTTTAAACAACTCTGTGTACGAGATTCGATGACAAATGTTACACAAACAGTTTAGCATATACGGTTATGATGGTTAATACCAAAATAAATAGCCAAAGCCAAACTATTAAAAAAAAAAAAAACTGCATTACTTAATAAAACGATCAAAAAGACATAGTTTTGTTGGTTTTAAATCATTGTAGATCAATCAGTACACATTTTCGGGTCACTTTGTAATGATTTTCGCGTATATCTTTTTCTCCATAGTGACTGTAACGACCAGAGAAAACAGTAATAAGGTATACCACGTCTTACTGAAGATACAAATTAATAAAGCGCTTAAGAAAATTATTTATAATCAAGTTTCCCCCTCTATTGTGGAGAATTAGAGTGCGTTAGTGTTTTTCAAATGTTTTTCGGGTAGTATCTGAATTTTTATGTAAAAAACAAAAAAGAATGGTCATCTTTTCCTCTCGATTACTGCTCGCTTGTTCCAAACAATGCAGTAACCACGCGACTTTAGGAAAACTTCATCGTCAACTCGACACCCCGGCGCCACAAAACCGTCAATCAATTACCGATGCCTCGGAACCAACCGAAAACGCGCCTCAAATTCACGAGATAAGAGTTCGAAACACAAAGTCCACTCTCACAGCCAGACAGGGCCAGCGCGATAAGTATACGTACAACGGGGGACGGGCGTTGTAGGTTTCGAAAAACAGGTTCGGATTTAACGGCCCCGGCTGGCCCAGAGGAGGCAAAATTCTCGCCCGAAACATTCTTGTCTCCTGTCCGGTCCAGTCCTCTCTTCTTCTGTCTCTCCCTCATTTCTTTGCCGACCAAACAACATCGCAGAACCGGCCAACTTCTTGGCGGGCCCTCGGTGTGTTGTAATCTTCTTCTCGGTGGAAATAAGACCAAGAAAGAGGTGGCCAGTATAAGGGCGCGTGACGGGAGAAAGAGTCAAAGAATCGCGTGCTTGAAAAAGGAGATTTCAACGACTGGCTTTCGCCTCGTGATCTTGGCCTGTTATCTCGGGGGGTGAGGAAAAATCGCGATCTGCTGCGAGCTTGGTAACAGTGGCCTAAGGGTTGTTGCAAAGAAATCGAGGGTTATAGGGTTGCCAAACGTATGTCCGGACTTTTTTTGATGGATTTTCTGCTACCACAAGTAGAGAAGTAACGCCAAGATATTTCTAGAATCGGGTATTCTTGATACCTCGGAATATCAACAACATTATCGCACTGCCATGAATACTGGCGTTATTTGAGGATTAGTAAGTGATACAGATAGGTATCTATGGACTATGGACTCCAACGACCAGTTTTATAAATACGAGTAGAGCTTAAGACTCAAAATTTAGGTGATAAAAAAAAACAAATTTTTAATACGATACATTTTTTTAGGATATTCATTTAATGGTCGTCTACCATTGTCCATTAACATACACGTGTTAATTTTACACAGTTTTTACTATTCTTTGCGCGTAATTTCTAGAAGGGCGAAACGATAATCTCGATACTATTCGAGTTTTTACGTTGACAATTGGGGGTGGTTTTTTTTTTTTTTTTTTTTTACGGAACCATACGTGTTTAAAATCCTGTTCTATGAGCCGAGAGCTTGAAATCACCCCCAAATTGAACCCTAAAGAGGTGAAAAAACATCCACTTTCGTAATTCCAACCCACTGTACTATAGGGTATTTGTTATCTTTTCGTAATTTCCCTCCTGGGAATTACCGATTTTCCCAAAAGCAACACGTAAGAAAAAATCCGAAAATTCGTAGATAAGGGATGCCGTGATATCGTAACACCCAATGAGCAATAATTAAATGATAAACGTGTCCGCAAAATTAAGTATACAAATCGAGAGAGAGAGGGAGGGTGCACCACTTTCACTTTTGTAGTTCTTGGCGCGTATGGGTGTGACTCGCATATACCCATGTATACATATATACAGTTGCGTCGTGGTACGAGGGGGTGCAACTCGGCAGGCTCTTCGTCGATTGGCCGTAGCACACGTATATACCTATACACATACATGGCGTTGTACTCCACCGTTGCGCGTTGCGCACTTGAACTCTCTCTCTCTCGAGCCGCCGCTGCCGATGCGTGCGCTCCGGCGTAAACGTTATAAAAAGCTCGGGTGTCGTCGTTTTGGTCGTCAGTCTGCGAGCTCAGCCACTGGTACGACCTCGGCCGGCTCTAGCTTCGGATCTACAGTGCCGGTATTGTGTGTCTGGGAGACTAGGACTTGGTTCACGTTGGGGAAGGAAGAGAACAATAAATAAAAAAAAACTATACTTTTTTTTTATCGTGAGCAACGAAGCTTTGATGCTCGAGTGGATACTTACCTGCGAGGTGGACGTCTCTAAGTTGCGCTTCTTTTTTTCCCCGTGACCGTGATAGTACGATGATAAATCGGTGTAGCTGATCTTAAAAGGACAATCGACAGGAATCGGTGTTATTGTTTGTTATTGTATTTCAAAGTGCATCTTGCGAGTGTTCATTGTTGCCAAGATGCTCTGGAGTCCGATTTCTGAGGCGTGCGAAGTGTGCCACTGCACAAGGTAATTGAATAATCAAGTTTGTTATGGTTGATTGGTGAAATCGGCGTTGCGGAAAATCTTTCAGGGAACAAGACAATATTTTATTTTTAAAGAGAGAGAGAGAAAGGGGGGAAGCGGGATAATAAGTATGAAGGACACGTGGTTTTTTTTTTTCGAGACAATCGGCTCAAGTTACACCATCGCGTTCGTCTTTGTTCGATTGTTTAAGATTGTCAAGTTTAATTTTTTTGTGAACTGCTAAGTCCAGCGGGTCATTTATCGTCCAGTTTAACAGTAAGATTTACACGTGAATAGCACTTTTTGCATGCATCGCACTCGTGTACTTATACACCCACACTTACCTACAAATCTTCAAAAACACGCAATTTTCACGCGTTATATACACAAAACTTTTCATTTTCATACCATACTTCATATGTGTTAACGTATATATCTTAAATTCTTGTTGCTTTGTTGAAAGTTAAAATTCAATTGCCAAAATACGTTTGTCTAATATTTGTTTACAACTGGGGAATTGTCTAAGCAACTAGAAATGTACATACTGGTTGTCGTGAAAACGGCTAAGATAACTTATTTTTAACGAACTTTCTACATATGTAGGTAGCATCGCTTGAATTATTTGCGCCTTTTTTTTAAATACTCCCTTTGCATTAATTTTTGCTTTTTTCATAAAAAAAAAATGAACAAAAATTTTAGTGCACCCACCCCAACTAATATACTTTTAATGTTATTGAATAATTACGTGTATTGATTTTGCGGAAGCAATATTTTTATTATTTGTTCAGTGATTCGTTGAGTATCAACTCGCAACCGGCCCGATGACAAAATTTATAAAAAATTCCCCTCCCCCCCACAACATACATACTGTATAAGTGTAACAAACACACGCACTTGACAACTGTATGTATTTTTCCATTAGTTTTAAAAATGTTATCAATTGCACAGCCATTTAAGTATCCAAAATTTTTTCTACCTTTATCAGTAGATGCTTACAAGTTATACGAGTACCACCAACTGCATCAAACATCCCTTCCCCCCACGAGATTCAAATTTCGTGCAGCTTAATGTTAAAACCGCGTCGGGGCGCCACTTTCCGGCCTCTTTGCCGCATCTTCGCCTTTTTTTTCGTTGCCTGCGAGGCTGCCAGCATCGCCCATCGCTTCTCTTCTCCACCTCCAGTCTCCAGTCGCGCGGCAAACAGTAGCCGTGACGCATGTCAACTTTACATATTTTTATTGCGTACAAACAACTTTCAGTGCCGTGTGTCGCGCCGGTGTGTTGTTTCGCGTAGTGCGAGTGCCTCGGAGGAGGTGGCTAACAGAGCCCAGAGTTCCCGCCGGGACGACCTGGTCGCAAATTTCTCTCCCACGACGAAAAGCGAACGGGCGACTCGTGCCTTCGGTGGGTAGTGCTCATACTTTTACCTACGCAGTGGCTCTCCCAAACCACCCCAAACGCGGCCCCCCTTAGTGCGACACAATCGCCTTTCATGATTCCCACGCTCGGGGTCCCGTTGTTTTTCCGTGCCACCCTGACCTTCCGACCCCCAACTCTACCACCCACCCTTGCACTCGGCCAAAGTTGCGACATTTCTTTCATAGTTTCGTTAAACAAGCATACGTGAAACCACACGTATGTCCGCGTCTCTCTATGTATGTGTGTACATAGCAAACTCCCGCCTAACCAAAAAACGTCTGTTTATTGTGTTCCAGCCTGTTCCGCAATGCTTTTAAGATCAAAGGCACGCCGGAGAACGCTGTAAAAGAGCAACAAAAACGCCAGCTGAGATCGTCGTCATCTGAAATATCATCGTTCATCAAACGTCCTCGTCGACTCGTCGGCATGGCACTTGCGGCAGGGGCGATGATCACCTCGCCCAGCAAAAGTGGGGCTACGAGTAGCAGCAGCATTAGCACCAGTAGCAGCTCCCACGAGAATGAAGGTTCCCCCGCCATCGCTCAAAACTTGACACCGTACAAGGTAAGCCTCGTCAATGAAATGTATGCACATTGCGTGTGTGTGTGTGTTTTGTTTGGGCCATGAGAAAAAAAGAGGGAAGGGGGCTTCCCGCATTTTTTTAGCTTTGTTGTGCTCGTAATATACGAAGGACTAGGGAGATGTTTTTTCGAATTTTTGATAAAGCAGTGTACATACTTGTTGTTTTTGGGGGACAAAGTTTTTGTTGGCTTCGGTACGAGTGAAACGATGAATTTTAAGTGAATGAATATTTTTTTTTTGGACGATTAAACACTAATTTTAAATGGAACACTTGAATTGTTGAATTAATCATTGTGTGCGCAAAAATCATAAAGTTCGTTTAAAGTCCCAGAAAATTGTAAAATTATTACAACTTAATTTTTTTAGTTTTTAACAATAATTTCTTTTCCCCCTTTATTACAGTAAATTATTATAAATAACGTTACAAAATTAGAGACGGCTACTGGTACATAAAATTTAGTAATAACATGTACAGTGTTAAAGCACAGCTAAAAGCCTAGCGGTATTCAGATATCCTCATTTTATAATTGTACATATATGTGTGCAGTAAGTACCAGTTACTAAACTTGTTGTTTTCTATTGCAGCCAGGTGGTATCTTCAAGCTTACCAAGGCCCGTTTGCCGCTGGAAGAGTGCGACCCCAATAGCCAGGACAGTGGCTACAGTGGCAGTTTGAGCTTCGGCGAAGAGAAGCCGCACCAGCTGCTAGAGCTCCACAGCAAACCAAAATTCCAATTCGCCGAGCCATTGGCCGTCGCCCCGCGCAAATTCTCCCTCGATGCACGAAGCCCTATGAAATCACCCCTGCGTGCTTCGCCCCAGCAGACCCGTAAGCAGCCCGCCATTTTCCATAGCGTCTCCTCGGGCTACGAGAGCACCGATGATGGCTTCAACGACCTCATTGATATGGAAAGCCTCGACAACGATTGCAGTAGCCTGCCCAATGGCCTTTCCAGTCTCATCTCGGGCAATATCGTTGCCGACACTAGCGTCACTTCGACTTCATCGTTGAAGTCATTGTCGTCGCGTAATGAAAACAATGCGACCGAGCGCATGTGCATTTCGACGACGCCTGAAGCCACACCAAGTGCAACCACTGGCGGCCGATCCAGGCTTGCCGTGCGCCGCTCGCTCAGCCTACAAATTGACAGTGCCAGCTCACCTAGCGCCGATAACGAGCGCAGCCCCGGACCCGCTGCATCCCGTGTGCGCTCCTGTCTCTTCCGCTCTCCGACCGCCAGCTGCTCCACTGCCAAGCTCTGCTTTACTGACGAGAGCCCACGCGCCAGACCTGAGCTTGGCGTCATCAGTCCACCACCCGTCTCCGGTCGCAAGTTCAAACGGCCCGAGCCACCCACCGATCACTCGCCCGTCTTGGTCAAGCGCTCGCGCAAGAGCACAAGTTTCCAGGATGTGCCTACGAGTAACTTGCAAACTGCGGGTGTCTTGCCCCAACCGTCGCCAGTGGTGTTACAGCGTAGCTTCTCAGAGACCGAGGCTCACGTCCACATCAAGCGCGCTATCGGACGTAGTACGACCGAGAACGACCTCACTGGTGACTTTAGCAAACCTTGTATCCTGCCTCTGGCTGAGGGCCGGCACGAGGACTTGAAGTCCATCAGTGTGGAGACGCTGTCGCGACTGGTCGATGGCGAGTTTGCGGACATGGTGTCCGATTATAAAATTGTCGATTGCCGTTACCCTTACGAGTACGAAGCAGGACATATCAAAGGGGCCCTGAACCTCTACACCAAAGAAATGATTGAAGAATTCCTGCTAAAACCGCTCGAGCACGCTGCCCCGTCAATCGAGTCCGATGTGTCCAGAAAACGTAGCATCCTCGTCTTCCACTGTGAGTTCTCGTGGGAACGTGGACCCAATATGTCGCGTTTCCTTCGTAACATCGACCGACAGCTTAACAAGGAACATTACCCCGCGCTCCACTATCCAGAGATATACCTGCTGCATGGTGGCTACCAGAGATTTTATAAGGAGATGAAAAGTATGTGCACGCCTCAGGACTATCGGCCTATGCGCCACCCTGATCACGAGGCCGACCTCAAGCAGTTCCGTAGTAAAACAAAAAGCTGGCAGAGCGAGAAGACGGGCCGGCCAAACGTAGTCACTGCTAGAGCAAATCTGAAGCGTTTGGGCTTTTAAGCTCATAGTCATTGTCTAAAAATTATGATTATTAAAATATTGATTGTTTTATAATTAAATAAATTATTGTAAAAGAAAAATGTTATAATGCACCGTAAAGAAGAGACGTTCTTGAAAATGAATTATCTGAGTGGATCATAGAATTCGGCTCTCGTGTATTTATGTATAAATGTAAATATGTTGTTATGGAACCTCGATCTCAGTAGGGGCAGAGTCATTTTCAAATCTCACACCAAGCAGACTTTCTTTTATAATAAATAATTTTCTATGAAGTATGTGAATTTTTTTGTACCTTTTTCCATTTTTCCTTTCCATCATTCATTTTTATTTTTATTAACATTGTTTAATAATTTTTTTCATAAGTAAAGACTTCATGTTTTCTTTAAATAATAACTTATAATAATGTAGTAAATGAGCATTAAATATCTTTTTTACGTCTTTTTGGATTAATTTTGTTGTTGGTGCAATACTGTTGCATTAGTTGTTGACATCTTATTTTTTCTGTTGTTGACATCTTTTTTCAAAAAGTCGGCCGCCTACATAGGGCCTAGGGCCAAAATCAATTATAAACAAGCTGCAATTAATCCTATAAATATAAAATAAAAAGTTGGCGTTGCTTGTGCTATTTGGAATAACGTACAAATATATACGTACAATAATCAGTGTAAAAAAGACAACTGAAGAAGAAAGGGCTGAAAAAGAAGCACAGCCACACGAAAAGTCTCCTAAGAATGGAGTATTTCTGTAAGATTTGTGTAACCCAAATTTTGCTATGTATACACTATATAACTTAACTATTTATTCGAAGTATAAAGTTAAAGGGCTGTGCATCCATGAGTTAATGGTAAAAGGTCTAAAGTAATGTAATTTTGTAAATATGGTCGATGTTAAAAGCCATATAAGATAAATAGAATATTTATACTTTTGAATATCAATTTTCAGGTGAAAGATAAATTGTAAACTTGCCGCAAACAGCAGAGAATACGTCAACTTTTTATTGTCTATCCATAACATTAGTTGCGGCTGGTTTATACGTAATTACATGGCTCTACTGTAAATTGTAATAATTATTTGGATCAGCGCCATCTATCGGTCTTTATTTTTGGCCAAAAGTGGCCTCTAAAATTCTCAATCAGAGCAATCAAGGTTAGAGCCATTTAGTCAATTATAAACCAGCCGCAACTCATTTCGTAGCTATAAAATAAAAAAATAACAATACATGTGTTTTTGGCGGCAAGATAACAATCTATCTTTTGCCGAAATTTTATCTTCAAAAGTATAAATACATAGTAGGTCGATTTTTTGATAGAAAATATATTGTTAACTTGCCGCCAAAAACACATGTATCGTTATTTTAGTCATTTTATAGCTACGAAATGAGTTGCGGCTGGTTTATAATTGACTAAAAGGCTCTAAGCCCTAATGCTCTGTTTTAGAATTTTAGAGGCCACTTTTGGCTAAAAAATGAAGACCGCTAGATGGCGCTGATCCAAATAGTCACTATAATAATAATTTACCATACTTACAGTAGAGCCATGTGATTAGTTATAAACCAGCCGCAACTCATCTTGTAGCTATAAAATAAAAAAATAACGATACATGTGTTTTTGGCGGCAAGTTAACAATATATTTTCTATCAAAAAATCGACCTACTATGTATTTATACTTTTGAAGATAAAATTTCGGCAAAAGATAGATTGTTATCTTGCCGCCAAAAACACATGTATTGTTATTTTTTTATTTTATAGCTACGAAATGAGTTGCGGCTGGTTTATAATTGACTAAATGGCTCTAACCTTGATTGCTCTGATTGAGAATTTTAGAGGCCACTTTTGGCCAAAAATAAAGACCGCTAGATGGCGCTGATCCAAATAATTATTACAATTTACAGTAGAGCCATTTAATCATATATAAACCAGCCGCAATTATAGTTATGGATAGACAACAAAAAGTTGACATTTATTCTGCTGTTTGCGGCAAGTTTACAATTTATCTTTTACCTGAAAATTGATATTTAAAAGTTTAAATACATAGGAAGTCGATTTTTGGGTAACAGATAGAGTGTAAACTTGCCGCAAATAGCACAGAGAAAGTTAACTTATTGTTTTAATTTGTTGCGGCTGGTTGTGCTTCAAACCAAAAACGTGCCGATAAACTGTGTTTTTCAACTTTATATTGTAGTTGTTATTTTGTTTTACGTTGTTGTTAGGCTTTTGTTCTGCCGCTGCTGCTGCAAAAATTGGTGTGATAGGTAGAAGACTATGGTCTTATCATCGATCTGTACCGCAAGTAATTAAAGAAACATACAAACGTACTTACTGCAAGAAAAAAAAACCTGGATAAACAGAGTATTTTATCTTTTAGAAAAAGAGGTTACTTCCCATTTCACTGTTTTCTTTCGTTGTTTATGATTTTTTTGTATATGATTCGCGAATTTTTTTCTTTATTATTATTTACTTCGCATGAAATAACCTTTTTTTTCGAAATATAAACTGGACCATTGTCAACACTATATAATGCAGACGTGGCCACAGCCTGCTCTCTGGAATTTTCTGCGACCATACCTATTTATTCATACACAATACGTAAAGTGCGCAATTTGCATGATTTACGTTTATTTTACCGTGACAATAGATAATTGCATGTTGATGCACAATGTAATTTTGTAGTCATACTCCTCAAGTTTTAGTAATTTACATCATACATTTTTTTTTTTTTTTCAATTTGTACATTTTAGTTTACATATAATTAAAACAAATTTTTCTAACAGTATTAATTATGGATGTTTTTTACAGCTTTATTTGGTAAAAGACCTCTTTTGAATATTGGAGTACGACTTTTTGCAACAATGACTGAGGCATTGAAAACTCACGAGGTTGTTCCCGATGTGATTGATACCGTGCCTCCTGCACTTGTCAAGGTGTCTTATCCAAGTGGTGTTTCTGTAGAAATTGGCAAAGAACTTACTCCAACCCAAGTAAAGGATCAACCAACTGTTGATTGGGATGCTGACACTTCTGCTTTTTACACTCTTTGTATGACAGGTAATTCATGTAAATTTACTTGATTAAGCCACTTACATGACTCCTTAGTTGTATTTGTTGAGTTTAGTTTACTATTCTTACATAACTTTTAAGATCGGTCATCAATATTCAAAACAATTTACATAACTGATAATGGATTATTTTTCAAACTCATAGTAGAGTAATATGTAATTTATTTTTATTTAATTTTTAAGATCCTGATGCACCCAGTCGCAAGGAACCAAAGTTCCGTGAATGGCATCACTGGCTTGTAGCTAATATCCCAGGGAAAGATGTTTCCAAAGGAGAAGTATTGTCTGACTACATTGGTTCTGGCCCACCTCCAAAGACTGGTCTCCACCGCTACGTTTTCCTAGTGTACAGGCAGCCAGAAAAACTAACTTTCGATGAAAAACGCTTGACAAACCGCAGTGGCGACGGGCGTAATAATTTTTCCATCAAAAAGTTTGCTCAAAAGTACAAATTGGGTAACCCAATTGCTGGAAACATGTACCAAAGTGAATACGACGATTATGTGCCTATTTTGTATAAACAACTTGAGGGCTGAATTAATTTGTAAAAGTAGCTTTTAAACAGTGTAGAGAAACACTAAAAACATCAGGACTGCATAGTCTTTTTACTTATGTATTCAATTATTACGACCTCCGTTATGATTGCTAGCACAGATTATTGTTCTGGGAGTGATTTAGAAAACATCACTATAATTTTTGTAAAACAGGGCCAATTTTTGTACAATAAAGTTTTTTAATAATATACGTGTTTTTATCTCTCACTTATAAATAATACAGAATTTTTAAGAGTCAAATATGGATTTTTTTTTGTAATGTATGTAATTTGTTTAATTATAAGTTCTGCATAGGAGCTCATAAATATATAAATTTAAAAAATTTTAAAATAAGGTTACAGCGGGTGACTTTTTTAGAGTACTTAGAATGCTCCAACAGTAGTAACATGGCAATAAAATGATAATAAATTTTTTAAAACACTGTTTTCATCATTGGTTTTGTTGAAACTTTGATAAAAGTAATACCATGCATGAAGGATTTCACAATGGTTTATTACTCTTTTTATTCTATGCAAATCACCGTTGCACAGAACAGCAACGTATTGAAATTGATCATTTTGTATTTTTTCATCGTTGCAGAAAATTACCAGTGACGTAACCAAAAATAAACTATAAATTTCTCGTTTGCTAAAATCGAAAGGCAGTTTACACAAGAGACGATGTGAAAAATGAGATTTATAATAGCAGGTACGATTTTTACATTTTTATTTTCATTTTTCAAATAGTACATATTAATTTTTTTTTTATAAGTCAAAAAACTTACAAATAACATGAGTCACGCTCTATCAGTGTATCACTAATTTCTTTTCAATTCAATTAAATACATCACTTGAGTGATAAATAAGTGAAAATTTATTGAAATATTTATTAATACTGACAGAAATTTCACCGAAATTATTACTCATTTTAAATGTGAAGAAACAGTTCGTTGATATAGCATTAATAGATTTTTCACTGATTTACTCAAGTGAATACGAACGTACAAATTGTATAAATATTTACGTAAGACGTAACGATAAAATTTCCATTAATGCTTGTACAATAAATATTGGATGCATAATACGTTTCGTCGAAAAAATATTAATATTTACGATGTTCATCATTAATAAACTGTCAGTGGTTCCGAAATATGTAATTTACTGTTTTTGAGCAGAATTATTTTATTGAAAAAAATTTAACGTAATAATGACTCTAGTTATGAACTTTTTCATGCTGGTAATAACGTTGACATAATTTTTTTTTGCTACTTTGTAATAACAATTTTCAAAAAAATATGGTATCGTACAATATGTGGTTTTCATCTTATAACTTTATAGGGTAATCTTTGTCTAATTTGCTCTTTTCCTAAATTCAGTTTAAAACACGTTCTTGCTATTCCTTTAAGTATATTCTTCGACTTTATTTCATTACTAGTTAAAAAATCTTTTCGATCCTATAGGTACACAGGAGAAGAAGATTCGACCAAATATATATTATTATTAATGTAACGTTATTTAGGACTACTTTTAGGTGTGTACGCCTTTGCAGCTAATATCCCATCGGAATTTGCTTCCACTGGTATAGTGCCCGACGTGTTATCCAAGGCACCAAATGAATTGCTTTCGGTACGTAATACATCATTCAATTACATTGAGTTTTATTGAATGATTTGTCATAAACGAAGAATTTAAATATAATAACATATCGCATCGATTATTGGCTTGCAGATATTTATTTACTTATTTACTCTTGAAGTAAGTGACTTCTTATTAAGATCAAACAAATTGACCACTGTGAATAACAAATTTTTTTTCTCAATTTCTCGAAGAATGTATCTGAGAAAAAATATTTTTAACTGAATTTGTTTTTTCTGTTAACAAAAAATCAAATTTAATGCAGATAAGTTACAAAGATGCCGACGGCAAAGAAAAAGATGTGGCATTCGGAGAGGAGCTGACACCGACGATGGTAAAAGACCCCCCCGCTTTGGCTTGGTATAATGAAGATAGTGCATATTACGTTGTTGCTATGATTGGTAAGTTCAAAGGTGTATACATGTATCCTAGCTCGAACAGAAAAACAAAGCTTTTTTTTCTTCTAAAAATTCAAAAGGAAAAAATTTATGCTATAGTATTTTGAGTTGCGAAAACTAGTCATATCTCGAAATAACGTTTTTTGTTAATAATTAAACGGTTTCAATGATTTTCAGTATACAATTATAAAAAACAGTTTTAAATTATTATGATCAATATTTATTTTTGTTTTTGTCATTACCGCAACTAGTATGTTATTGTACCTGCATAATTCTAAAAATCAATCCCTGTAATTCATTATTCCTTCAAGCCATTTTTTTTTTTTGAGCTCTTTAAATTCAGTTTTCACCCTTCCATCTGTAAGCATTACTCTTTATTTGATGCAAAACGTGTACGGAAAAAAAAAATTATTTATTGAAAAACATTTTAATAGACGATATTTTTTCCTTTTCTTAAACATAAAAAATGCAAATTTCCTTACACACGGACAGGATCCCACATTCAACTTTCTTCTACCTCTTAGTGATAATAGCAAGCAAAAAAAAAAAAAAAAACACGGTGACAAGTTAAAACTAGCTCTCCGTTAGCTTCTCACCTTGAACCGTACAAAAGCCAGTTGGATCTAAAAGTTTCACTAGTCAAATGAGACTACGCGCGAAAATCGGCATTCGAACTTTTATGGAGCTGCTTTTTCAAACCTTAAAAATAGCGCGTAGGCGGCTCAGTTTCCCCCTACGAAAAAACCAGTGGAACCAGTCCACATACTTACGACTGGATAATTTGGAAAAATATGCAGATCCAGACGCCCCGAGCCACGAGGATCCAAAGATGCGCGAGATGCTGCACTGGCTGGTGGCTAACGTCCAAGGGGGCGACATGTCCAAGAGCGAGACCATCGTGGAGTACACGGGCTCGGGTCCCCGCAAGGACACCGGGCTGCACCGTTACGTGATACTCGTGTACAAGCAGCCGGGAAAATTGAGCATCGACGAGCCGCGCATCCCCAAGACCGAGCGCGGGGGTCGGGCCAACTTTGCGATTCGTAACTTTGCCGACAAGTACAAGCTCGGCGAGCCCGTCTCTGGGAACATGTTTCGCGCGCAGTACGACGACTACGTGCCCGTCTTGATGAAGCAGATGGGCGTCACCGAGTGAGGGCTTTCTTTCCCTTTGACTTTTCGTCTCTGCATACATAATGTAACTTTTTTCTTTTCTTCATGTACACCCAATGGGCATGTTGTTAACACCTTATTTCTTGGATTAAATCGATTTTAAATTGGCAAACGTGTAATTGAAGCATTTCCAACCGTGTATCTGTGAAATAATAAAAATTAATGTACTCTGAAAGGATTATTATATGCCTGCTGATTAATTTTGTCAAAGTATATAATATAGCCTCGGCTGATTGTTAGACGTTGAAAATAAATGTACCTGTATATTTTTATCGTCAAAGCAATACTTTGCATCATCGATATTTGTTTTTTATACTTTTACATTTACCCAAATACATTGAACCGAAAGGAAATAACACAACGAGAGATGAAAACAATCCATATTCCACGGCCGATTTATCCCTTACATAAGTGTGTACGTCCAAGTTCTACTCGCTAGACCTATACAAAAAGAAAAAAAGACCATTAATTCATCTTTAACAAAAGGCTATGATGTTCCGCCTCTTTTACACCTATATCGCATGTATGCTCAAATGTATGTACTAATTATATCAAAACATCGTCGCCTTCCAACGTCACGGGCAAACGAACTTTCACGTGTACTCACGTCGTAAAGATCGTTACGGGACGCGATGGGGGTGCAGCCGCAAGCCAATAAGTATCGTTGGCCAAGTGGAATCGGTCGCAGTCAGCGACGGGAAACCGAGGAAGGATGAAGCTTCTCGCGGCAGGTACGTTATTGCGCGATGCTCCTTTCTTTTTTGGGTTCTATCATTGTGTTGTTGCGGGTGTACGTGGTGTGTTTACTTGATTAATGGGGAAAAAAGTTCCATTTGTTTTTTTTAGCATTAAAGTGCACTCTTGTGCTTTGCAGGGATAATTGTTGTGGCACTCGGTGTCGTGGCGGCCGACGTCGAGTCGGATGTCAAAACCGCCAAAATCGTGCCGGACATCATAAGCAAATCCCCGAATGAAACGATCGAGGTTCGTTTTTCAGCTCCCATTTTCCTTGATTTGAATTTTTTTGTGAAAAATTGTTTACTCTCTTGCAGATCAAGTATGGAAATAAGGAAGTCAAGTTGGGAAATGAGATCACGCCCACCGAAGCTAAAGACATTCCGGAGATTCACTACAAGCACGAAGGTGGTGTCCTTTACACCCTCGTTATGACTGGTCAGTACAATATAATTCCTTCATTTTAATTTTCTTTATTTGTCTCTCGAAATGTATGAAGGTGCCTGTTTCGTTATTCATTTGATTATTTTTGGGAATTCGATCGACGAGTTTTCAATAGATCGTGCAACGATAGGTTCCTTTTTTTTTTTTTATAATCTCTAGAGCAGGTTTAAACACCGAAGAGCAAAAAATAAGTATAATAACTTTACAAAACAATCCAGATATCCAAAACGTCTTTCGTTTTACTATTTAAGAGTTACGATGGGCCAAGCGGTTAATCAGGTACTTCGATGAAAAAATAATTTTACCATCACTTCAATTTTTGTAGTCATTTCATCAAGATGATTTATTTAGTATATATAATCTATGAACTGACATAAAAGAATTTTTTTATTTTATATTTTAAAACCAGCTTCGATGCATTTATTGTTTCTTTGTGATTGAAAAAGCATTATTTGAAATGGCGAGCAAAAAAAAAAGGATTAAAATAAAGATTCCCAAAGAAGCCAATGGGACGGTGTTAATCACTTGCACAGCCGACTATAAATTGCCACCACCGCGAGAACCGAGATCGTATGCAACAGCAGCGGGTCACTTTCACCGCTAAGAACAGGTTTTCTCCTTTTGTATATGTATGTATACATGTACAAGCGTGTGCACGGGCGACCTCCTCCTTCTCTCGTTAAAATATGATATAACGTGTGGAACATATATATATGATCCTCTTTTGCCTTTGTTCTCTCACGATTTAAACTTTTGTCATCTCTCGGTGTTGACAACAGGGCATACCTGTGTATAATTATTACTCGGGTCCATCCGCATCGCGTCTACTTTGTTTTCCATATTTTTCGCTTTCCAAATGCGAAACTATTGGTAACTCTTTCATAATTTAAAGCGTGGAGTTGTTGGCCAACGCTTCATGAATACGCAGATAAGCTCTTTTATTTTATTTTTTATTATTTATATTTTATGGATACAGTGGGAGGGTTTCGATGCAAATGAGGATAACGTTGTTCGATTGCGTTGTTGAAAAATCTGAAAATTCATTCGAGATCGAGTTTTACAGTGAAAATAAGACGAATGGAAATCAAACTAAGCGCACCACGTTTTTTAAACCCACAATTTTATTGATAGTTGTTGGAATGGAATATACTTATCAAGTATGTTTACCAAGTAGAAAAAGTTTTTTTTTTCACTTTGCAAACTGTACAAGCAATTTGTTATTTTGTTGCCTCTAGTGAAGCATCAACTTGAAATTTTTAGAGCAAAAGAAATAAATTAAATTTTCCGTTTATTTTTTGGCTTTTTTTTTTTTTTATTAATAAATTTTAAATTAACTTTTTCGTTACACAACTACTTAATGTGCATACATGAATACATTAGTTCTGTATCAATATAAAAATCATCCCTTATAGTTAAAGTCTTAGTCTCAACTTCACTTTATGTACGCATGTAAGTAAACGTACTTTAATAATAATGATCATAAACACGATAAAAAATTTTGAATATTATAAAAATAGTATATTATACA